ATTCCTTGTTGTGGCTTTGACGAGGAACCTTCACGCGGGCGCGGTGGCTTGGTGTATTGTCGTGTTCTCTTTTGTGCTACCATCCACGGTCCCGGTCCTGTTTGAGGGGGCTGCGATTGCGACTCGCCTTCGCCGGGATTCTTGTTTGGCAGAGCATCGGCCGTCCTAGTCGGAGGTTCATTGTGACGGACGTCCCTTTCCTCTCGGGTCTTTGGGCATAAAGCCGACCCATGCCCGTACATTCCACATGTGAAACAGATATTCAGCAGGCTTTTGTACTCGACCCTTTGGGTCCTACCCCCAATCTCAAAATCAGAACACAGAGGTTGGGACAAGTCGAGCAGACAAGCCAACCGGGCGTATTTACCCCGAAGGCGTGCCGCCGTTTGATAATCAATTTTAACCACTTTGCCCACGATTTTCCCGATTGAACGAAATACCTCATTGTTGTAGAATTGCACGGGAAGACCGGGTAATCGAATCCACGCAACCACTGACTGGGTTCGGAGGTTGGTCGCGTCGAAGTCTGCAGTCCAGGGCTGAACGTGGAGGTAGTGATTGGCAATCACCCAAGGACCATCCGTAAGTGCCCTTAGTTGATCCTCGGAGGAGTCGAAACGAATAACGTAATAACCATTTTCTAGGTCCATCATTGGACTATCCCGAATCGAAGGCCAAAGTGCCGACAGTCGCTTATGCATCATCAGGGGAGAAAGCGAGTGGCCAAGCAGGCGCACCACCACGACATGTTTCCACTCGTGCAATAACGAGTCCCAAGAAGGATCGGAGAAGAGTATTTTTCCAGACCGACCGTTCATGACAATCGTGATGCTATCAGTCGCCGGCTCCCCTTCGGCCAACGGGGCTAATGTCACATGCGGTCGGTTCTTAGTCAGCAGGTCTTGAAAGCTTACACTGGACGGAACTGGGCGAGCGGGTTGTCCAGGAGGCGGCTGGATCGGATCGTCCCTTTGGCCTTCAAAAGTGCCGGAAGCTCGCCTCTTTTTGGATGCTCCGGTGGGATCCAGGTACTGTAGGTATG